TTGCGAAACACTCAAACTTGGTCTATTTATAAAAATTTACTCACTTTCGGAATTTGCATTTTCATATAGCATAATATTACTTGAAAGCTGGATATTATCTCTTATATATGCGGAGGTTTTTTTTAATTATATTTTTGTAAAAAAAAAATTTGAGGATGGAGGGATGCGAACTCTACATAATGTATTTATGGATAGAGATACTATTAGATTATGCCTACAACCATCTCTTATGGAGTTGTATGCACGCTAATTCAAAAAAAAAAAAATCAATGATTAAATCATTTTTATTATTTTGTCAAAGTTATAATTTTACGATTATTTCTAATCAGAAAGAATGTAATTTTTTTTATATCATCCCTGTACTTTTATCATGTCAATGTTTTAATATAATATTTGTTTTAGATGAATGAAAATAATCTCTTGATTTAAGAATTTAAAAAAAAAAAAAAAGATATCAAGCAAAATTATCCTGAATTTGTACTTTTATCCTCTAATTAAATCAAGCGTGTACTTTGTTATTTTACCTCTAGAAACCACAGCAACACATTACCATATTCCACAATTTTTTTTTTTTTTTTTTTGAAATAGGTAATTTGTATTTCAAATTAAGAAAATATACTCATCAATATTGATCTCAGTATACAAGGACGTTTACCTCAAGTAACTGATTCCACCATTACAAATCTAGTGACGCGCAAAACGTGCGCCTAGTTTCCTCAATAGAAAATTAAATACATAGTCGAACCAAGTATTACTCACTCAACTAGCCTTTTTAAATAAGTAATTTGTATTTCAAATTAAGGAAATATGCTCATCAATACTGACCTCGATATACAAGGACGTTTACCTTAACAAGTGATTGGTTCCACCATTATAATCTAGTGACGCGCAAAACGTGTACCTAATTTTCTCATTGGAAAAAAAACATAGACAAATTAAGTATCGCTCACTAAACTAGCTCTTTTAAACAAACCTTAACAATCGATGAAAGCTCTAATCGGTTGAGAGGAAAGGACCTATAACATTGAGGCTAATCGAAACTGTGCACCGCCCGACCCTCCCCTCAGGCCAAAGATCCAAAGGCTATCTTAAGACCATCGCCGAACTTCGACCAAAGGGAAGAAAAGGGAGTGGCGCAGCAAGAATCTTATGAAACCCTAGGAAAGAGAACAGGGAGAGAATCTTAACAGTTTGTTATTTGCAATTCAAATAGCTCAAACCAAAAGCTTCATTTTCTACAATTTCCAATTGCAGTTAGTGCTACGACATGGGTGAACATCGGTTAATAACCGTCAATGTCGGTTTGCTAACGTATAACTAATTTATTTGGTTTTCGTAGGTCAGTTTGGCGGCTCATTATCGGTCCATATCTGCTTTTCAATTTTTTTGAACAGTCTTATCAGCTAGGAAAAGGGGAATCCACTCCAATATTCCCCCTAGAGAATTAGACATAATATTTAAATAGATTTCTTGGAGACATGTATTAAGAAACCTCCTTCTAGCCCTTAATATATTCTCATTTTTTATTAAACAAGTTGCAATATAAAAAACTGATATATGATTATGTTTGAAGTACGAGAGCAGATAATAAAATTTGTTGCAAGGCCGAATATTTGTTTCCTTTCAATATTAGAAACCGACAATCCTTCACTAATTAAATCTAATTACTAAGTGCGCGAGTAGAAGAATTGAAATGCATTTATTGCACAAACGAATTCTAATTTGTAAATCGATTCGACTCACAGTCATGAAGCGTGTGTGGTTGCGGTTTAATCAAGCAAAATTAGAAGGAGTTTTACCATCTTTCTGGGCAAAAATAATACATTGATAACAATAATGAGAAGGATTTCAATAAATCATTGTACTTTTCTGTAGGTTCTCTGAGACATACAATGACAAAAGAAGAGAAAATGAATGCTACATTTTTTTTTGTTTGCTATCCCAAAATGATAAAAGATTCTTGGTTTTAGCATATTCTAAATCGTACTCCAGTATTGGTAACTTACTCTTCAATTTGGTAAGAATATGAATTTAACCACATATTTTTTCGATCGATTTGTAACTTCTTTTCAACTAGACTAGTCTCATTTTTTTCTACTTTGATGTGTTGTTTTGCCAATACTACTTTATATCTAGTCCAATACCATGTGCTGGAATTTCCTTTCAGGTTCCGCCCAAATATCATTCTCGAAAGTACTTGGCATTATTTTCAAACTGCAGTTTGATTAAGCTTTGATTAATTAGCAATATGCAAAGACAATAATATGGAATAGCGTTTTCATTGTCAGTGCATCTCAGTGCCAAAATTCGGTGTTGGTGTTTTAGGTAGGAAAGTGCTCTCAATTGTAACGTTATTATAAGTACTATTACTTTGTTGCTAAGTTTAGTGTGTGTTATATCCGGAGCAAAATTTGGCACCATAGCATATAACAAATTTTAACATTTAATTATTATTGATTGATGTATGAGTTATTTATTTATTAATTATTATATTTTCATTTATAAATTTTTTAAAAATTAGAAATACAAAATTGAGAAAATTACAGAATTTACCCTCATAAGAGTACATAGGTTTATATTTTTATCCCTCATTCTTGATTAATACCCTTTTGCTAGTGTAGTTATTTGACTAAAAAAGTTATTAATCAAGAATAAGGGATAGAAATCCTGACCCATGCACTTTTAAGGTATGTTTGGTTCATAGGTTTAAATAGAAAGTTTAAATTTAAATTTAAATTTTTGTGAGAGAACATTGTAGCAAAATAAAACTTGTATGTATCTTATGACCCATAGAATATACTAAATGATTTAAAAATATACGTGCCGATGTATTGTCGCCCAGAACACCCCTTGCTCCTCGTACCACCCGATTGAGCCTATGATGCTGCATTGTCCCGCCCCCCACCTCCCTCTTATGCGCCTCATCTCCTGCCCACATCGCCCTGCATCGACCCACTCCCTTTTCTTCATGGACAACAAGTTGTCGTGGATTTTTTCCCCTAAGAACTTTCGGGCTCATTTGGTATATAAGTTTAAATCAGGGTTCAAAGGGCAATTTTTAAAAATATTCCTTGAAATGGAGCTCTCTTTTATTTTTACTTCTTAACATTAGCTTATATATTTCTACCTTTTAGACTAGAACTAGTCAAGGGGTAGAGTTTTTTAAAAGTGATAATTTTAGTATGTCAGGTAGTTAAGAAGGTAGAATCTGTAAGTTTCTCAGGTTTTTCAAATCTGAGTTTTTTATTATGACTTTTGAAATTTAAATTTTTATGAGAGAAAAACACTGTAGCAAAATTAAAATAATTAGTTTTCAAACTCCTTTTTGATGAAATCGGGGGGTTTTGTGATTAGTGAGGCTGGAGAAGTTGGGAATAAATTATTTGAGAAGTGATTTGTGGGTGACGATAATGGTGGAGCTAGAATAATGTGACCTTAGTTGTGGGTAGAGTGAAGATACAATCTCATTGGGATTCATTAAATCAAAGGATAAATTATACATTTTATTGTCAAAAAAGACTTAAGGTAATATTTTCAGAAACTATAGCACAAATTTATAATGCTTCTCAAAAAAAAAAAAAGAACAAAATACCAATTTGATGTTACGTAGAATTTGATAAAAACCCAATTTAGGTGTCTACACAATAATTACCCAGCTTACGCTTAAGACAGGTTCCCCTCCAATGGAATTGAAATTTCTCAAACATGAATTTTGAGAGAAACGATACAATTCTTTTTTTTTTCCTAAGCTATTTTTCTTTTCACATTTATTTTCATATTTTTTTTTATTATTTACAAAAATTTTGTTCTCATTTTCAAAGTATTTACTAATCAAACTTTGGTCAAATAATATTTTCATTTACCTCAAAACAACATGTGTAAAGCATTTTTAAATATAAATGAAAAAAAAAACTAAACGGTATTTGGTATCTTTATTTTCATGTTTCTTCTTTTAAATTTGAGAAATCTTAATAAATACTCTTAAAAGGTCATGACTCTTAATTTTTACTACTTCCTCTTAATTAATATATTTTTTGGTCAAATAACCATATTAATAAAAAGATACTAATAAAGAGTAAAAGATAAAAATTCATACTTAATACACTTTTAAAAATAAGTTTAACAATTTTCTTTTTAAATTTTCGAAGGCCCATTTAGTTATACAACTTAGACCCATAATTCTGATCATGCTCTTTTATAATAAATAAAAAATAAAAAAGGATTTCTATCAATAGATTTTTTCACATAATTTAAATTTAAAATTAAAATCATTTAATTGTACATAGCCACAAATTTATCTTTTGTAGTGGTTTTAGGACCCGTTTACTTCACAGATTCGAATTTTCAATTTGAGCTGAGATATAAAATTTTCTAAGAGTTTTTAACTGTAGTATAAAAAGAAAAGTTAGATGTGATATTTTCTGATGGCTAAATTTAAAATTAAGAACTCAAATCGATAATTCGAGTTTTTAATTCAAGTTGAGATATGATGTTGTGTGAGAGCTTTTTACTGTAGTAAAAAAAATTAGATGTGACTGTTTCTGAGAATTTTTTATTGTAACAAAATTTAAATTCTAAACTCGAATCAATGAGAAGAACGAGACCAAAATGGACGATGGTTAATTTTTTTATTTTTTTAACCTCACCACCACATACAATCATTTTTACCCTTACTACTATGCAGTACGCAATCATTTTTTCCCGCTCCGAGAGGGTCACTACAGTTATAAGCTCCAACGTGCGCTCTCCACGTGGCTGTTACTGATTGGACAAATTATCGGCGCAAACCTCAACGGCCTCTCAGATCTGCATAACGGCGCCGTCAAACTCCCCGTTTATAGATTCCCCCGTCACTGTTAACGGGGTCTGGACCACCACCCACTTAAAAACTCTTTTTCCTCTTAAAAAAGCTAAAAAAGATCTGAACCGTCCAAAAGGCCCTCTCGTCCTCATCATCATCATCAACATTCATCATTCATCATCACCGCCATCATCATCGTTTCCGCAAACGAACACACACACGCACACGCTCTCTCTCTCTCTCCTAAAAACGTTGTGGACAGAGAAAGAAAGAGAGGAGAGAGATAATGGTGCGGAAGTGTACTGGCAGAGGAATTGCAGAAATTGCAGTGATGGAGGTCGCTCATCAGGTGGGAGTGAGGACTAGGTCCAGAGCGGCTCTGGCTATGGCGGCGAGCTCAGTCACGGCGAAGAGAAGGAAGGTCACCGGAGCGACAACGGGAGAATTGGTGAAGCTCTCGACGTCGTACGTCGAGCTCAGGAGCCGGAATCGAGTCGTGATCGCGTCAGAGAATTTGGTGATTCCTGCGACGGCGGAGAGTACCATCGGAGTTCGTTCTACGACCGAGACGACGGAGGAGGCGGAGCGGTGCGGGAGCCCTAGCTCCTCCAATCGCGACGTTCAGGCGTCGTGTTGCTCGAGTAACGGCTCCAGTGAGATTGCTGACCATCACGATGATGATAATGATGATCAGGAGAGAATCGAATTCGTAGATCTGGAGGTATAGCAAATTAAATTCGCGCAATAAATTCGTTTTTTTTTTTTGGAAATTCTTTTGAAATTTTTTTTTGTTTTCGGTTTGTCGAGAGCTTAATTGCTCTCTCTCGCCGTTCCATTCCGTTCGGTATATTATGTTTCATTAATTATAGAATTTAATTTTACAGGATGATGATGATAAAGATGAGAGCACCGAAGTTGAAACATCGACGTATAATTTCTGCAGAGAAATAAGGTTTTCACCCAAACACTACCAGCTCAGTTACTCAAACGTTCATTATTTTCGAATTTTCTTCCGATCCTTTAATTTTATTAATTTATCCACTTCTCGGCTCCTAAATTCAAAATTCAAATTAAAACATCTCAAAAATTCAATTTCTCAGCCTTATAAATTAATCCTTACACTCACTCACTTTTTACAACATCAAAAGAGTCTCTCTCTCTCTCTCTCTCCAACTTTCTCTCTCTAGCTCAAGTATATATGTGCTTAAATTCAGTTATATTATTTAGATTGAGTTTTTCTTTTCTTTTCTTTTCTTTCTTCTCACTCTTGTGTACGTTAAATTTTCTCTCAGGAGAGAGATGACTCCTTCGAGTAAGCTTCGAGAAGAATCCGACGACGTGGAGTCGGCGGCGAAGCCGACGGTGGTGGATTCCCACAGTAGATCAGCGGTGGCCGAGAAAATGCCTAGCGAATCGGAGCTTGAGGAATTCTTCGCAGCCGCTGAGAAAGACATCCAAAAACGTTTCGCGGAAAAGTAAGTAATTTGTTAATATCTTTTGAAAAAAAAAAAGGAAGAAAAGAAAATATAAATAAAAATCGGAGAATAATTAAGATGAAGTCGTGGAATAATTTTCTCTGCCAGTTTCAAATTTGTACTGCAACTGCTGTCGCTGCTACCTTCTGCTGCAAAGCTACCAAAAACGACACTTCAAAATTCAGCTTTATTAATGTTTGTTTGTCTGCCGAGAAAATAATAATTTTCCCAGCTAATCCCTAAAATTCTCTCTCTCGCCGCAGGTATAACTACGACATTGTGAAGGACACTCCCTTGGAAGGACGTTACGAGTGGCTTAGATTAAAGCCGTGAATTAAGAGAGAAAAAAAAGTACAATTACGAAACAGCTAAAACACCCAAAAAACAACGTCGTTAGTGAAGAAGAAGAAGAAAAAGAAACAGAATTAGTTTCTACTGGCTGATCATCAGGTTCTCATGATATTAATCTTATTAGTTGTTATAATTATTATCTTTTAGTTACTGCTAATTTCAATTAATTAGCTCTTCTCTAGCTAGCCTAGCCTTTTTTTTTCCCTCTCTTTATTATTATTATGTACAGCTTTCCCTATCACTAAGAAGATGAATTAATCAGCAGTAGCAGCAGCAGCTGAAGTTTGTTAATTCTCTCTCTCTCTGTACGAGTTGTACGGGAAAATGAATTTTTCTTTTTTCTTTCGGGAAAGAAAAATGGGTTTCGATAATATACACATATGAATATATGACTATATATAATATATAATTTTTTCCCTGCAAGTTATCAGTTTTTATAGCCCCTCAATTTCGCGTCTGTTTCTCTGAAAACTCTTTCCGTTCCCCACTAGCCGCCGCCTGGTACGAAACACAGTCGTAAATTCCAGTATTAATTCTCAGCACTATTTTCTTCTCTTTAACTTGAAAAAATAGTTGTTATCTATTTTATTTATTTATTCCTGTACGTTGTCGTATTCTCCTAGTTAGCTGTAAATGCATTTTACTTTTTTAAAAAAAATGGATATTCGGAAATATCTTATAGTGCTACAACGTAATATCGTCATTGTTATTGCTAGCTTTTTTATTTATTTATTTTTGAGCTCGTAAATGGGATAATTAAAAGAAGAAAATTGAGGCAAATGCTCTAGAGTTAGGATATTGTCATAACATATGGTGAGGGCAGGGCATGGAGAGAGAGAAAGAGAGAGAGAGAGAGAGAGAGAGGCAGGTAGAGATACATACAAACACCATGCCGTTTAAGTTACGGACACGTGTTGAGGATCCGAAAGTTGAATCTTATCCCACACCCATGTGCGAGAGACTCTCTTACCTTTCCAAGTACAACCAGAAAGAAAACAAACAAAAAAAAAAGTGAAGGAAAAAAAAAGGAAAATGTATAGAGAAAAGGGTAGTTGATAAAAAGAAGGGAGAGGCGAGATTAGTTCCACTATTATTTATTTGAGGTTAAAGTTCATTGCTGGGTCAACACGCTGTTATGTATTATGTGCTACGTCTATATATGTCTAAAAGTACCAAAAACAGTTAGGGGCAAAGAAAGCAAGAGAAAAGAAAAGAGTGGCAAAAAAGTAGAAGTTCTGATCAGGTATTGGTCATGATCAGGCATATACATATATATATATATATTACATGTATGTATGTATGTGTGTATATTTCTGTTATGAATTTGATGGTCATGTTGCTGGGATATGGAATGAGAAGAGCCACTTTCTACTATGTAGGTATGTATAGGCAGGTAAATATGTGCTCAGCAAGTGTCGCTTTCTGTGTCGATACAATCATTGCGAAAGAGGTTATGATTCTTGGAGATTTGCTGCCTACGTTTGTACACTGATTTATAAAAAGATAGATAACAATAACAATAATAATAATCTCTTTTTTTTTTCTTTTTCGGAAATCATTATCCATATATATAGTACATGCATGGCCATATAGCGGGTGCCTTCTGCAACATTTCTCTCCAAATTCAATGGTTTCAGTTCAATTTCGTCCTTTAAAATGCTTTTTTTAAAATAAAAAAAAAAACTTTTTTCAGTTTCATCACAATAATAATGCTTTTTGCTTTTTTTTTTTTTTTTTTTTCTTTTTGCTACCACCCCAAAAGAGTTGGTGGTTCAATGGTAGAAGAAATCTCTCTCAATCACAATGCAACTTTTTTTTTTTTTCCAGACTGAGAGAGCTTTATAACGTAGTTAGGCTTTGACTAGGCAATAAAGAAATGGTTGGATTGTCTTTGTTTGTTTCAGTTGTAAGCATCGTTGCTTTTCTTGTTACCAGCTTTCAGTACTAACTTTATTCCAAATTCGTCCATGCAAAGGACCATAAAAGAAGCGACAGCCCATCAGCCATCAGTAAAGAAAAAAATCAATGAATTCGCGATTGTAATAGAAAACTAAGGAAAAAAAAATGCCCAAACCATATTTTTGTTGAAAACAATTAATAGTGGGAAGATTTTTATATAACCTCGGTATATTCACTTGAGCAGACTATATATAATAGGTATCTTTATTATCTAGGGCTACTAGTAGAAATTAAGGACGTTGTAGAATAATAAGGGAGTTTTCATAAACAACACTTGTCGGCTGTTGACACCATACAAGGTTTGGTTAGAAGCGCGCGCGCGCGTGTGTGTGTATATCTACGACCTAGAGCTAATTATAGTTTATCATGCAAGTAATTTTCTTATTTTTCAAATATTTTACTTTATAACAATTTAACTTATTGCCATTTATTTTTCCATCTTCTTCTAAATTCGCCTTTGGACAATGACGGCCAGCAAATTGCATACTCAATGCCATTCCTCTCGAAAAGATCATTTAATATATAAACTATGTATAATATGTTGGACAAAATATATACATATTGATAATCAAAAACTAATTTGTATTCCAATTTGTGTAGGAAAAGCTTTTAGTTTTCAGTTTCTATGGCTTCTCCGCCAAAAAAAAAAAAGGAAAAAAAAAAGTTTCTATGACGACGACTGCTTACTTTAAGTTTAAGGTAGCTAGTTAAAGAGAATCAGAGCCTTACGTGTATATTATATACATTACGAGCATATTCTTTGCAGTGGTACTTTTTCGCATTGATATAAGAGCTATGAGGAACACAAAGATAGAAACAAAGCAAGAAAATAGAGAGAGAGAGAGAGAGAGAGAGAGAGAGAGAGATGAGCTTCAGGTGAACGTTAATTAAGAGTTCGATGGCGATGAGATCATGTTTGTCAGCGCTACTGTCGGAACGTAGAAGGTGAGTGCGATGTGTAATGCATGCATGCATGTGTGTAAAAATTCAATTTGAATCTCAAAAGTGCTCAAAAATTTTTTTTTTCTTTTTAAATGACGTTCTGAACAGTTTCGCTTTTTTGCATCTTTTTCAAGATCTTGATTCCTTTCCCGTTTCACACAGATCTTCTTCCTCAGTCCCTCGATCCATATCATCAGCTTTGATTTTCTAAATGTATTCTACTTTTATTTGTTGGTTTGCTTTTTTTCTTTTTTCCTTTTTCGTTTCAAGCTGTTCGTTATTATCAGAAAGTGAAAGAATTATATGCAATATTACTATACTAATGGGGAGTATTTATGAGAATGAAAAATGTTGCTACGCATATGGTGTAGTAATATGATCCTCACCAAAAAAGAATTTAAAAAAGGAAAAAAAAAAAAAAAAACAGAGAGAAAAATGCTAAAACTTACCTTAAAAGTGGATGTCTAAATTTTTACCCCTTACTATTCACTCTAAAAAGAATATTAATTAAAAATAAAGAGTAAAAATCAAACCTCATATATTTTTAAGAGTATGTGTCAAGATTTCTTAAAAAACAAAATAAAAAACAAATTGACGTCTCGAACATATTCGCAATTAGGCCAAGGCCCAAAAGTTGGAAACCCATGAGAAATGAACCTTGAATCCAAAGGATTTGAAAAGTCAACTAGATAGCTCTTTTTACTGATCAGTCAAATTAGATCGGATAATTTTTAAAAAATACCCTTTAAAATTATACGATTAAAGATGTTTAGGTCTTAACATATTACTTTGTTGAATTTTATCCTTTTAAAATAAGTAATTTGATAAATTATTATCAATAATTAACAGATGTGACCGACAACGGATATAATTTAATAAATTATTGTCTAAAATTTAATAAATTATTATCTATAATTAAAGAAATTATTATTAAAAGGGTAACTTATCACAAAAAAAAAAAAAAAAAAAAAAAAAAAACTCCAAAAAGATGCGTTTAAGGGTCGGTTTTTATAATTTTCTCAACTATAGATAGCTTGATGAGGCCCTTTACTCGAACATTTGAAAAACCCATAAAATAAAAATGTGACGTATAATTTGCTCAAAAAAAAAATGTGACACCTAAATCCCTGTAGGAGCATTTTTTTTTTTTAGCTTGGAAAACTGCTCAGCCATTTTCAATAAAAACATCATGCAAAGGATTTATGTTTCTCTTTCAGTACTTTGAGTCTAGACTCCAGGATTTGCAAGTTTTGGGCACTCAGTTTTTCCTAAACAATTTTATATGAAAATATATAGTTAAAGAACTACTACACAAATTTTTAAAATACCAGCTTCTAATGATATATCAACATCTACGGTCTACCCATTTGCTAGAGATATTCACAAAGTAGCATTAACATGAAGCACGTGATGACACCGAGTTAAGGTACATCCTACACGTTATCAATGGATGTGATCGATCTCATAGGACTAGACCTATTAGAAGCTTCCTTCTCCGAAGAATATGCTACCAAATCCTTCACGACTTGGCGAAACATCCTTCTGTAAGTCGGGAACTTTGATACACTTCTCACCATTCCAGTCATCCTGCAAAAATTTCTCATGGATAGTCATACACATAAGACAAATTTGTTATCTTATTCTACAACTCTCAAAACAGGGAGAAGAAGAAAATGGTCAAAACATAGGCCGAACTAGGCAATGGCTGAGTTTGGGATTGCTTTCGAATCTTCTAAAAGCACTTTGCACACAATAAATTATGCAAATATAGTGGTTGGCAAGATTGTACAAAAGCAGTTCGCACAAAAATCAACGCACTTTTTAAGTTATTTTTAGAAGTTAAAATTTGTAGCTTTTAGATTATACTTCTACTTTTAGTTTTACTTTTACTAAAAGCAGTGCAATCCTAAACTGGGCAAAGATTTTACTGCTCAGCATCAAACTTAAGGAGCTTTAAGGTTTAACGTATTTATAACAGTAAATACTGGTTAGTTCTTTCAGAGTACTTGAATCGAGTTTGGATCCTGCAAAGAAAAGTGCATTACCTTCTACTAATGGCCTGAATTTGAGCAGCCCTCAGAGCATTCTGAGGAACTACACTCCCGTTTTCCCAAGCTTCCATGCGTTGTGTATTGCTACCAAAAAGAACTACCTTCTCCAAGAACCGCACCTCACTTTCTCCTAATGTTATGGCCTTAATCTGTTCCTTTAAGACCATTACAGGATTGAAGAACCAGTCCAACAATTTGTCCTTTGGTCTATTCATATGGGTTATTTCGACATCATCGAGAAGCAACATGCCACTCGAATTTCCTTTGATGGAGTAGAGCAGAGCCTGCAGTAATGAGAAACAAGGCAAGCCAACGCCAACTATGGCGGCTGCTTCGTTGCTGTTCTTTGCTTTCAACCATTCATGTAGATCAGCGGGAGTTATCAAGTAAGCATCCAATAATTCCTTACCCCTAATTTCACAGGATCTCATCATGTTTCCCCAGATCTGTCGCATGTCAAACAATCATTACAAGCATAGCAAGACAACTACCTAAATGTAGTAGAAAATTCATTATAAAGAAAAGTCATGTGGTCAATTTAATGGTTTAAAACTTGTATCTGTTTTTGAGTTAGATAAATAGCACGTTTATGAGCTAATAAAGGAAAGCAGTACATAAAAATGTTCAAACAAACGTCTTTGTAACATTTCCTTTATATTTCCTATGTCGAGATAATAGCTATATGTTTAATTTAAAAAAACAAAAAAAAAAACAAAAACAAAAGATAATAGAACTTTATGAATCCCTACATCTTTAGTCCCTCTTTCATTCTTAATCAATCAAAAGTAATTATTTAAATAAAGTAAAAATGAACCTCTATGAAAACTGTTAAACCATCACCTAGTACTAGTGGTGTCTTAAGGCAGTGAAAACCTTGCATATGACCCACCGTGAAAATGCATACCTGCACCATTTTCACTTCTTGTATAGTCTCTTTAACTGATCTTGAATGAGCTAAACTTGGCATGAGCATTGCAGGCGCTTCAGTAGAATCTGAACGGGGTTTGACTCCAGCCACACGAATCCCTCGAAAAGAAGACTCAGGCAATCTTGTTGTTACTCTTTTGTTCCGATATTGGGGCCTGGCTGCAAGCAATGCTACTACTAGGATCAAAGTGGTTCCAAAAATTACAAAATCTTAATAAACTTCAAAAGATAATAATAGTAATACTAGTAATAATTGGATGATCAATTACTTTGGAAAAATGGTCCCCTCGCAGAGATAGAGCCAATCATTGGTGTATTCATCGAATTCAGCAACCATTGCAATCACATAAGATACGCCTCTTCTGAAAGATCTTTCCTACATCCATAAAAGGTTAAAAGTGTTACTTCACACAAACAAAAGGCCACGACAAACACATACCGAAAATCATCAGATTGAAGTGTGATCAAATTCGAACCTGATATACAATAGCCGATGCATACAGTCCAACAAAAAAGCTAGAGAAAACAGCCAATAAAACGCTTCCAATAACAACAATAGGCCACATCAAGATTGTCAAACCAGCAATAGGGATACAAGCTGTTTCAAGAAAGGGCCCTTCCCGGCTAATCAGATCATGTACAAGACGAAACCACCCTTTGAACAACATGTAGGGACTTTTCACAATAGCAATTGTAGTGTACAATGGAATCTCCACAATCAGCCCCATCAAACCAACTATGATACAAGCAGGCACATGAATTAACCTACATAGCACCAAATAACTAGTGAAAAATGTGGCTTATTTGTCTGCCCGAAGAAACCACACAAAAGTTAAGATATGCCATTTAATATAAATGTATACGTGGACACCCGTGTGGTCATATATATGTGCCCCACCATGTACATATGGTCCCTAGATGGTTACCCAAACACACGGCAAATAGTGCAAAGAAAAAGGGGACAACGTAGGAGAAATCTTTAGTATGACATAATTTTAAACCATCAAATCTTCAACAAGTTTTATTAAATTGTTATACTTTTCTTAATATGGTGATTTAGTAATGAAAAACTAGTTCCTACCAATGGAGGGAAAAGAAAAAAACATAAGCTAACATAAAATTCTCAAAAAAATAAAATAAAATAAAAAAATAAGGCTCACAGCATAGAAAAGTTGTAAATATCTTAAGGGAACATAACTGAACATAAGTTTCCTTCTTTTGTCTAAAGTCCAAAGAAAGCACAAGATAACTAATTCTTATATCAATTTCACTAAATTACACAACTTACCTAAGAGTTTGAACTTCATTTGAATCAGGGGATTCACGCAATTCCTTCAAGTAGACTGGGTAGGAATGATGACACAAGTCTGCAAAATCTCTAACAACTGTACAACTTCCTTTAATAGTGCCCCAAGTGCCATCCTAAAGAGTAATGAAAAGGAAGAGAAAGAGAAACCAAAAGGTAAATTCAAATAAAAAGAGAGAAAAAAAAGTTTTTTTTATTATTTAAAAAAGGAGAATTTACCACAACACTGTGCAGCAACTTCTTTGTTTCCTTTTCATGTCTGAACGCCTCAAAAGTAGAAACCCATGGTGTTAAGAAACCATACCCAACTCCCACAAGAACACTTCCAGCTATGCTGAAGCCCAACCAAATGCCAAACAAGACAGGCAAAGCCAACAAGATTGCAACTTTGAATGGTGCATCAAGAATTTTAATCCTGAAATTACCAAAAATCATGTGACATATCAAAAACCCAGATGGGAAAAATTTAATCTTTTTTTGAGACATGTTAAAATTAAATAATTACTTTACAAGGGTACAAAATGTCCACACAAGATGTGCAGGAAGCAAACCAAGAATCACTCCAATATTCCCTATTATTAGTATCAAACAGGCAATAGGACCCACAAGAAAACCTGCAAAAAAAAGAAAAAAAAAAGTTAAAAATATTCCATGAAAACTTCAAGAACCAAACTATTCTTTCAAGGGATTCAGCAGAAACATAGTAAAGAGATAAATAAATAAATAAGTGAATAACCAACAAACCATATTCAGTTGGCAAAAAATACTAAATACCCAGAAAGTGAAAACAAAAATAGAAAATAGAAAATAGAAAATAAAGAAAAAGGATTAGAAGGGAACCTTTTAGAGCACCCAGAAAAAGAGCAGAACAGAATGCGAGTATCAGATAAACGACCTTCAAACAACCTCTCAGATTATGTGGTAAATCCATTTTAATACCATAACGATTTAAAGAAACAAGAGAGTTAACTTGACCCTCTTTATATTAAACGCGTTTCAAGTCAATAATCGTCTTCAAAAAGCAAATTCAAAGAAGAAAAGAAATCCTATTTTGCTAACATTTATTTATATATATGTGTGTATGTATGAGTCGTGAGAGAGGGGATTTTGGGGGCAGAAACTAGAAACTTTTGGATGAGAGAATACGACAAAAGATGAGAATAAAGAACAACGCCTAAAAACTACCGAAAAAATGAATGAGGCCAAGAAGTTCGGAACCGCAAAAAGAAACATTCAAACGAGAAAACATATGGTCTCGAGGAACGAAACGAACTAGTTCTTTTATAGTTCATTCACCTGTCACTGCGGGCTCAAACTCAAACGATGACAAAATAAAATATCAAAGCACCATTATTAGTGGGCGCGTTTGGATTTTTTTAAAAATAATTTTATTTTTTATATAAAAATAAAAATAAAAATATTTTCAATCTTAGATAAAAATTATTTTTAAAAATATGTTTAATAATTTTATCAAGAGATTATTTTCAGTGCAAAAAACTTAATTAATGTCTCTCTTTCTCTCTATCTACTCGAGAGAGGAGAAAATGAAAATAAAAAATAAAAAATAATTAAAAGTCATTTTTTTATTTTTCTATCATTTTTTACTAAATTAAAAAATCACTTTTATTTCTATTTTTTATTTTTATTGCGTAAAATACATTTTTATTTTTTTCTCAAAAAACATAAAAAATAAAAATGAGATCAATTTTAAACACAGCTATATGATCTCAAAGAACAAGATGAACTACTTCTTTTATAGTTCATTAACCTGTCACTGCGGGCCCAAACTCAAACAATGACAAAATAAAATAAAATAAAATATCAAGGCATCATTATTGGTTTTTCGTTTTGACAAAACAAAACAACATCATATTTTTAACTCAATTTGTTAATTTGTGATTACTGAAAGCTAAAAATGGTTATCACGGATAATGTGACATGTAACATTTTTTTTTCTTTTTATTTGAATTAAATATGAAGTGTGGCAGCGCCACCATGCTCTTTCTTTTCTTTTCAAAGTAATTTCCCACACTTCAAAAGAATTGATTACGTGACATTGTTTTTCTCTCTTGCTTTTTGGCTGAAAAATGTGAGAGTAGATAGAAGATCTTTCTTAATATAAATATAAACTATGAGAGTTATTTGGTAAGATAAAAAGAGAAAAAACTTCAAAAGTACATTTCGCGTAAAAGTTTTGTCAAATTTCGTTAAAATTCTTATAATGTTTTAATGTTTTACTTCAGGGCGGACATTTAAGTGGATTGGGTCGGATCATGCTAATAATATTGGGTTTTGGGTTCGTTCATTCAGTCCATTTTTAATTTGCAACTCTGAACTCCTTTCTCACATCTTAAGATCCTTCATCGAGAATTTTCTTATAACGACCCGCACTTCAATTTAGTATGATATTTGTGCATGAATCCGCACAATTTTCTTTTAGGCTTCACCCTCAAAAGGCATTATAATGAGGTAGTGTCGTTACTTATAAACCAATACCTATCTTCATCACTCTTTCTTGACTTTGTGCCTCAAGAGATTGATGACTTTTACAATATACAAGCCACATTTCACGTTAAAAATGCATAATAAAAATCATCAATGGTAGTACAGTTGCAATAGGTACAACCCATATTCACTTCAAGTGTTTTGTTTAAATATCATTTTTTTTTCTTTTTATTATTTAAATATCCGAAACACTCATTGTGTTTATAAAATAAAACTCAAAATAACCCTTGAAGCAAAGATTAATCTCATTAGCGCCCCTTGAACTTTTAAAGTCACTCTCACTATGTCCCTAAACTTAAAAACTCTCACTTTGCTCTATGAATTTTGAATTTATTCTATTTAAGCCCTCTTGTAAGAATTTTTGTTAAAATCAAACGGAAAGTTAAGGAAGGGGTTAAGTGTGGGCATGTGTTTATTTTTTACAGAAAGACACGTGACTGCATTATTCTCTTTTTTTATTTGTTTTTAACAAAAATTACAACAAAATGAGTTAAGAAAGAACAATTCAAATTTTAAGGAGTAAAGTGAGTGTTTTTAAATTTCAGGGGGCAAGATGAGAATATCTTTAAAGTTTAAGGACACTAATGATAATAATCTCTTGAAGCAATTAATTTTTTTAAATACTAAGACCGCCCTTCCAAACTTTTTTTTTAATAAACCCTTCCAAACATTTTTAAATGCAACTTAAAACATTATTAAACTAAAATATTTTATAAAACCAGTCTTAAAAAATGAAAAACTCTCGAAATATTTACAATATTTGTTTGCTTGAAATATTTTTGAACATTTTTAAAATTTTATCATTTAACTTTTTAGTAAATCATATCTAAAATAACATTTAATAATGGTTGGGAATGATAATCTTGGTATTTTTTAAAAATTTAATTGTTTTAGTAGGTATTTTGAGTTTGATTTTATAAAATGAAGGGTTTTGGACATTTATATAATAAGAGATAAAAGTGGTATTTAGACAAAAGAGAAGGTGTTTGAGGTATTTTCTCTAAATAGAATATATAAATACCTTCAACATCCTCAAAGTTCTATCTTTTTGGCAATTAAGTGTTAGAATAGGGTGTTTTGTAAGGCAAGTTTTATTTCGACATTGATACATTATATATGATGTATTTATAGTATCTTAATTTTAATAAAAGCATGTTATTTATTTGTGATTAATTGTGTAACACCCTGAAGAATTAATTGAGATTAATTAAGGTAATTGAGATTATTAGTGTGCCTAATCTGATTTAATTAATTTAGTTTAAATAATTCTAAGGTATTTAAATTATTCACAGTAATTTATTTAATCCAGAAGTGTGTATGGGCGCATTTCTGGACTGTTATATTTTACACATGTCATTTTCTTTTTATTTTTCTTTTCTTTTATTTTTCCTTTCTTTTCTTTCCTTTTCTTTTTCTTTCCCGTGCGTTTCTCTCTCTCTCTCTCTCTCTCTCTCTCTCTCTCACTTCCGTGCTCTCTCTCTCCCCCTCTCTCTCCCATTTGTGTCTCAAATCAAAACCGGATTCGAACCAAGAGTGATTTCAAAGAGTTTTCAACGTCAAGAGAAGGATTCGAGGTAAGATTACTGAAAGAACCTCTCTTGAATCTATGTTTTTCGGATTTCAAAACTTATTTTTGGTTCAAAACGGATTTTGATGGATTTTGAGTAAAACTAGGGTAGAAATTGGAGATCTTGGGTTCTTTGGACTTGTTTTAGTACCTAGAACCCGGATCTAGTGGTTGTCCCTTGAGATTTTGTGAATTGGGACTGGATTTGTAGGTTTTTGAACTGATTTCTGCGAGTTTTCGCGAACTGGCGTTCTCCACCGGTCGACCGGATCTTGCGACCGGATCTTGTTATGGCCACCGGCCGACCGGTCCGGTCGACCGGATGCACACCACCGGCCGACCAGTGGTGATGCACTTCTCTGTCACCGGTCGACCGGTGTACACGGAGTTTTACCCTGTTTGGCCTGAAATTGTTGTTTTAACCCCTGTTTTCGGGGAAAACCCAAATTAGCTTCATTTGGGGACTTGGGATAAAAGAATTAGCATCTTTAATCCCTGTTTGAGATTGAAAACCCTTGGAAATTGATTATTGAAACATGAAATTTGATTAGGGCACACTAATAGGAAATCTTGGTATAGGATTGAGATTGGATTACTTTAGGACTGAGAATTGATCCTAAAGTGTCGTTTTGTATCAGTGCTCACTGTGGATTCAGACTGAAGGGGCTTGAGGAAGCGGAAGCCAAAAAAGGGCAACGCTAGTCCCAGGTTTGATTGTGCGAGGTAGGATTTCTATCCCTTTTCCTTGTGAGCCTGTTTTCAAAAA